ATGTACAGAAAACAGTGAGTAACACATGTACAGAAAACAGTGAGTCCCACATGTACAGAAAACAGTGAGTAACACATGTAGAGGAAATAGTGAGTAAAACATGTACAGAAAACAGAGAGTAACACATGTAGAGGGAATAGTGAGTAAAACATGTACAGAAAACAGAGAGTAACACATGTACAGAAAACAGAGAGTAACACATGTACAGAAAACAGTGAGTAACACATGTACAGAAAACAGAGAGTAACACATGTAGAGGAAATTGTGAGTAACACATGTACAGAAAACAGAGAGTAACACATGTAGAGGAAATAGTGAGTAAAACATGTACAGAAAACAGAGAGTAACACATGTACAGGGAATAGTGAGTAAAACATGTACAGAAAACAGAGAGTAACACATGTACAGAAAACAGAGAGTAACACATGTAGAGGAAATTGTGAGTAACACATGTACAGAAAACAGAGAGTAACACATGTAGAGGGAATAGTGAGTAAAACATGTACAGAAAACAGAGAGTAACACATGTACAGAAAACAGAGAGTAACACATGAAGAGGAAATAGTGAGTAACACATGTACAGAAAACAGGGAGTAACACATGTACAGAAAACAGTGAGTAACACATGTACAGAAAACAGGGAGTAACACATGTACAGAAAACAGTGAGTTACACACGTACAGAAAACAGTGAGTAACACATGTACAGAAAACAGAGAGTAACACATGAAGAGGAAATAGTGAGTAACACATGTACAGAAAACAGGGAGTAACACATGTACAGAAAACAGTGAGTTACACACGTACAGAAAACAGTGAGTAACACATGTACAGAAACAGTGAGTAACACATGTACAGAAAACAGTGAGTCCCACATGTACAGAAAACAGTGAGTAACACATGTACAGAAAACAGTGAGTCCCACATGTACAGAAAACAGTGAGTAACACATGTAGAGGAAATAGTGAGTAAAACATGTACAGAAAACAGAGAGTAACACATGTAGAGGAAATTGTGAGTAACACATGTACAGAAAACAGAGAGTAACACATGAAGAGGAAATAGTGAGTAACACATGTACAGAAAACAGGGAGTAACACATGTACAGAAAACAGTGAGTTACACACGTACAGAAAACAGTGAGTAACACATGTACAGAAAATAGTGAGTAACACATGTATAGAAAACATTGAGTAACAAATGTACAGAAAACAGTGAGTAACACATGTACAGTAAACAGTGAGTAACACATGTACAGAAAACAGAGAGTAACACATGTACAGAAAACAGTGAGTAACACATGTAGAGGAAATAGTGAGTAACACATGTACAGAAAACAGTGAGTAACACATGTAGAGGAAATAGTGAGTAACACATGTATAGAAAACAGTGAGTATCACATGTACAGAAAACATTGAGTAACAAATGTACAGTAACACATGTACAGAAAACAGAGAGTAACACATGTACAGAAAATAGTGAGTTACACATGTACAGAAAACAGTGAGTAACACATGTATAGAAAACAGTGAGTAACACATGTACAGAAAACATTGAGTAACAAATGTACAGAAAACAGTGAGTATTACATGTACAGTAAACAGTGAGTAACACATGTACAGAAAACAGAGAGTAACACATGTACAGAAAATAGTGAGTTACACATGTACAGAAAACTGAGTAACACATGTACAGAAACAGTGAGTAACACGTGTACAGAAAACAGTGAGTAACACATGTACGTAAAACAGTGAGTAACACATGTACGGAAAATAGTGAGTAACACATGTACAGAAAACAGTGAGTAACACATGTACAGAAAACAGTGAGTAGTGAATAAATGAAAAGTTACATGTATATTCAACATCCACTTAAATACAAGTTGGTAAGTGATTGAGCATCACATTAAGGACTCCGTAACTGTTTAGTTATAAAATACAAAGTGTTATCAGTTTACATGTTTCTCAGGTTCTGATGACAGTTGGCCTAGCAATCCGAAACATGTAAACTAATAAAATCTACACTTACCGTACGGATTGATTGGTGTTGATGCTCCAACACGTTCATGTACCTACTTGTAGTTACCTCCCTTTGGTTGAGCTCTTCTAGAGTACTCCGGTACATCGACTGTCAACGTTGGATCGCAATTGCCCCATGATTGTGTTGGTGTACCAATACCTTTATTTCTTTCTACAATATCCACTTAAATGACACATTTATTTGGCACATTGTCTATTTCTAGAATTACAATCAGGTTTTTCTTCAAATTTTCTTTTCACATCGGCTGTTTACCCTGGCGATTACCTTTTCATTTTATAGTGAATATTTCTTATGCTAGATAGTAAAGATAAAATATGTCTTGAATTATTGTTCATTTCAGATCAGGAACATCGGCCGACTTAGCTGCCGAATTTGTATATGGTTGGCTGACGTGTAATTTTGACAGGCTGGACAAAGAGTCCGTGGTCAGCATGACTAAAACTCGGTCTACAACATCATTTAAGATCTGTTTGAAAAAAGGCAAAACGTACAAGAACGAAACAGTATTACGGACTTGTCTGAAAATCCTTCAGAAACAATGTGAATTGAGTAAAATACGTCTTGTCAAAGTAATCCGTGTAAGAATGAGAACTACTGTTGAAATTCTGCTGAAAAGGGTACCCGGTTTGAAGGTGATCCACTTGTTTCGTGACCAAAGGCCGAGACTTCTTTCAGCGGAAAAGACTCCTTACATGTTGTGGTATTCCTTAAAACAAACGGCAAATCTTGCATGTTCTGCCGCCTCTGATGACCTTGAAATGCATAAAGTAATGAGACGAGAATATCCTGGACAGTTAGAAACACTTCTGTATGAAAATCTAGCTGAAGATCCAATTGGAACTGCGAAGCGCTTATTTGATTTTCTTAATTTGCCATTAACAAAAACTTCTATCGAAGGCATTCAAAAGATGACAACGGCATCAACCGAATTTCGATGCAATTTTTGTACACAAAAAAAAAATTCTACAAAGACAGCGCATGCATGGAGAACTAAAAATTCTTCCGATTTCAAAAAGATCAAACTGATAGAGATGGAATGTGAGAACATCCAGAGAGTTCTTGGTTACGTACCGATAAAGGATATGGAACAGCTGAGGAACATGTCTTTCGATTTAAGAATTGTAACTCCATTTACTGCTGACGTGTTGTAGATGTACAGAGGAACTTTATTTTTACATACATATCGGTTCCTTAAATAATATCCAAATAGAAAAAGGGAGAATGGTTGCATATCTCAAAAAGTTTTAAGGGGAAAAAGGAAATGTATTCATCGGAATTTGTAGTATTCCCCTGTTGTACACGCGGTCCCTACCTTATACTCAAATTTCCCTTCTCATAGTTTATCAATGTAGGCGTGTTGGTCACCAACGACAGAAGGCGACACGTTTGTTAACGTCTGTCATCAGAGATGGGATGGTTCTCGCCAGGATCAAATTTGTTTTAGATCCATGTTTCTGTAAACCAGTATGACTACCCGACACACGATAGATCACGTTTTTGATAGATTGAAAGGAACATATACCATGTACATGTGTACATCGACGTCTTCTATGATCTTAAAAGCTTACATTTGTAGTTCTACTTCTTCGCATTCTATTGTTATCAAAAAGAGATATCCGGAACCGGTTTCAAGAACTTTCCTGAACACTAATGAAGGTTATATAAGAGTAAGAAGAAAATGTATCATATTAGAGAAGAGACGGCCTTGGATATTTGTGAGTTGACACGAAATAAATACAGCACATGGTCACAGCCATTCGTCTCAAATTTTTCAACTGAAAGTAGCAAGCCCAATTGAATTTAATCAGATTTTAAGCAGATGTCCAAAATTTCATATTTCTTTGCTCCGGAATTGCTGAATGTCGAAAAGATACAAATCTCTTTTTCTGTATTTATATAATGTAGACTTTTAAAGATGACCACTACTTCCCCTACTAGGCCCCACTCCTTTGTACTCCAGACACTATAGATTTAAACAGATGTTTTGGCATAATGATGTTCATTGCTAAATTTGATCAGAATCCTTTCATAGCTACTTGTGGAGTAGTCCGTGAATGATTTCCCTATTTAACATATTGGGTCTCATCCTTCAGCAAGTTGAGGGATAAATACCTTATCCATGCTCTATCTGAGAGATATAATTCCTTCAGTCGAAAAGTCAATGACGGGTAGCTCATTTTACCATTTGGGCTTTGTGAGATGTTTAGCGATGTAGCACTATTAGAAAGTTAAACCAATCTAAAGTAAAAATCGTAGACATCTTTAATACAAAATAAGGAAAGGCTGTTATGTCAAGATCCGCCGTTAATTTCCCAATTACAGATCTGTCCAAAATGACATCTTCCATTTATAAATATTCAATTCCCTTTGCCCAAAGATTCACTAGAACAAGTTTGGTTAAAATCCCTTCAACGGTACAGGAGAAGGATCTTTAATATTTTCCTCTATTTCACCTAATGGATCCCCACTCATCTGGGGGTCCACACACCTCAGTTTAAACAAAATTAATTATTTTGTCCCTAAGCATGCTTCAGACTGCATTTGTTTTAAATCCCTTCACTTGTATTAAGTAGGAGAAAGAAAATCCTCTATTTCCCCTATTTGGCCCCGCCCCTCTGCCCCCAGAGGGGCCACATGCACCCTCCGTTTATAAAAACTTGAGTCTCTTTTGTCAAAATATGCTCTAGGACAAATTTGGTCAAAATCCTTCTATTGGATGCGAAGAAGTAGATTTTTAAAAATTAAACTATTTGGCCCCGCCCCTCTGCCCCCAGGGGGACCATACCCTCCGTTTATATAAAACTGAGAACCCTTTGGCTAATGATGCTCCAGACCAAATTTGGTCAAAATCCTCTGAGCAGTGTAAAGGGAGATACAGTGACCATTGGTGAAAACTGGCAGATTTTCCAGTGGTAAAATACAAGGGCAATGAGTACCGTAACGCATTTTGTTTGTGCCCAATGGTTTCATTGATGAACAAACAATTAACAAAATCATGTTTTTTCTCAAAAAATGTTTTATAAGAAGAAAACTAGTGTTTTTGTAATTGTTTATGGTTGCATCGCTGTAGCTTTTATTACACGATATACTATTACTAAATATAGATTAGTTATTTCTCGCACATATAAGGAATGGAAACCTATCGAGATATTTTCGAAATTCTATTCTATATCGACAAAAATCCTTTCTGAACACACGTGGGGGTGACAAATTTCACTAGGTTTGGAGACTTTCGAAAGAAAGCGAAACTGCGTGTCTTCATACCTTGTATATAAAATAATCTGGTTTGGCAATCGGTCACGTGATAAGTTTTGGTTAAATGAATGTCGTTACCAATGACTGCTAATGAAGAAAACATGGATCACATGCAGATTCAGTAGAAAAAACGGGGATTTCAGACTAAATTCACAATGTTGTTTACATCTCGCCATGATGGACTTTTTACATTCTGTGATATCAATACGCGAATCCGAAAATCTTTGCAAAACATCGATAAAACTGATATCGTTGTCTCAAAATGACAATATTACATGTTATGCAACAACAGATGTATCATAAAAATATGTAATCTTGAACTTAAATGTTCAAAAATCATAAAACTGAAACACATATAGTTCTTCGGAAGCGGAGTATAAACAATAGCACAGGTGTTGTTGGGCACATCCGGTAAGCTAACCAAGGAAAGTAAGTATGATTTACACATAAATAATATGTTTTACGGCACGGCCGTTAGTGAGGGCGGAGCCAGGTTGTACTGTAAATGTTTCGGAATATCGATACTGTAAACTTTCAAGCATTGAGTGATGTGTTGAATGACTAAATCAGACCTACATGTATAGCTATACAGTGTATATTACAGTTAAGTTTCCTTTCTTGATTTCTTTTTGGCTGGCAAGATGTTTGATATCTTGAAGTTTTCCGCCTAGGCGTATGATGACATGACATTAATGTGAGAATGCGAAAGGTTCATTAGACTCTATATAAGTATTTAAATTTGCACCTCTTGAATCCATTGCAAAAATCAAGTGCAGCATATTCTACAAAGACATTGAAATAAAACATATTAGGATGGATATTGTTAATCATGTATAATAGCATAGGTATCTGAGATCCATGAAAAGATATACATATATATATATATATATATATATATGTATATATCTTCACGAATAAGCCCTTTGGATTACTTCAAACTTAACTTCAATGATTTATAAGTATTGCATCCAGAGAGAATTTGGGCAAAGTATTTTACAATTTTTGTGCTTTTTATGTTTAAAAATTAATTTGTTCAATGCTATAAAAACTGGATTTATATGAAGTTTCTATTAAAATAAGAAGCATAAATGCGAAATCACAATTTTTGTCATTTTTCAATACCCATCATTGCAGCCAAGAGAGTCAATAGATCTATATATCATATATATATTGTGGATGAATACATTTGTTTCAGTAACTAACTGACTATATGCTTTATATGTCTCTGCTTTATGTATAGTTTTAGCAATAGAGAAAATGTATCGTTTCCTCAATTAGAATTTGAATCATAAAATTGTATAGTTTGTTTTTTTAAATCGTGCAGATTTGTAAAACAGCAGATTTTCTTTTATTAATAAAAAAATAGCTGTGAGATAGTAATCAAAAATGAAAATGTTACAGTATGGATTCAATTTTTTTCTTCAGTCTATTTTTTCATGCAAAATATTAATAAAAAAAATCTTATGAAAATACTTGTATGTTTTTTATCCTATCATTTTGCGTCACTGTGATAAACTCCCTTTTTGTTGACAACCAGCACGTTGTTTTGTTGATATTCCGTTTTCTAAATATATATATATACCACTGCAATCTCTACCCAGAGTTGTCGTCGGGAGTGCAAGGACCGTAACTCTGCGTGATAGTCTCGTTCAACCAGACTCTTGTTGTCTGCGCAAGCGTCTGATTGAACGAGACTACACTGCCGATACAATAATATTTCGACCATTCAGAACTAGAGCAATGTAGCCGGTAACGTTATGTCAAGAGAATTTACATCTTTAACCAAATCAAATATTTAAGTATCCTATAGTTAGATATAAGTTTTAAATTTTTACAAAAATGTAACGTTTGTTCGAGATTCGGCAAACGAGAACTT